CTCTCTTGAGGAAAATTGGCAAAAGCTTAAATATTTCACTTGCTTTCTTGTCCAAGAACGAGAATTAGGACCTAGAAGCCTCCTGAAGCAAGAAAAATCCCAGATCTAACTACCTTCCTCCTCCCCTGCCGTCGGTTTCAGCTTGGTGTGGGTGTGAATTTCTCAGTTTTTGGGTAAGCAACAACCATGGAATTCATCTTTTCTCCCTTAATTTGGCTTGGGTTCACTCTAATTGCTCTTATTTCTTTCCAATTTGGTGTTAGTTCTTCTCCAATTTCCACTAGCCTTTGAACCTGCTAGGCTCGGTTTGGCTTGTCATAATTCTTTGGTATGAAATAGCTTTTAAAGCTGAATTTTAAGCCATTTAATTGTTGCCATGCTGAGTTTTAATGGTTGAATTGCTGCCCTATTGTTGTCCGAATTTTCTGCTGGGAATAGGAGGCGATTCGGTAGTGAATGGGACCATGATTTTGCTCAATTCATGTAGAAGTTAGTTTAAGTAGGTTGTTGTGATGTTCTGGAGAGAAAATACCGTGTGTGTGAGTTGTGGTTTGCCAAAGCCATGCTCTCCATATGCTGCCCGTGAGTAAATGGGAAAATTTTATGTGTATTATGCAAATATATAAATGCACAATTGATTTTGTGCTTGATTTCGGATAGAAAAATGAATAAATAAATAAATATGGTATTATGGGGGTTAATTGCCGACTAAATTGGAAACAATTAAATATGTTGTTTTATATAGGTATTAATTTTGAAATATTTTGATTAGGTACTTGATTATTCTGCACTCTAGCACTTAGGATTAGTGTTCTGTTTGGTGCGATAAGTAAATTATGGTAACGCCTTTCGATTTCAAAGCATATTTTAAATTGTTTTTGAGATGGTGGCAAGGTTTAAATTGATTTTATTGATTTAAATTGATTTTATTAGCATCGAGCATTACTGGTTTGAAATGAAATTATTTTCGTTTTCATTGAGTAGAGCATGCCTACTTGGAATTTACTGAATTGCTCTGATGATTTAAAAATTTTTGTAAATTCTGATTTTCCTGTTAAATCCATGCCCACATGGAAATTTTTCGGTTATTTCTGGAATTTGAGATTGATTATGAATTACGGATTTTTTTGTAAATCCTACATAGTTTTGTCTTTGATATAGTCATGATTACTGACGCCTGCTAGTGGGAGTTTGCAAACGCTAGCACATGTAGACATGTTTACTGATATGACCGGTTCATTCTATAATCCTGCCAATGGGATGATACATTGGTAATTACTGACGCCTGCCAATGGGAGTTTGTTAAATATTGGTAACTACTGACGCCTGCTAATGGGCGAATACATTGGTAATTACTGACCCCTGCCAGTGGGAGTTTGTTAAACACTGGTAATTACTGACGCCTGCTAGTGGGAGTTGTTAAACAGTGGTTATTATTGACGCCTGCAAGTGGGAGTTTGTTAAACACTGACCATGACTTATAGATGAGACTACTACTGAATTTTCTTCTGCATAAACGGTTTGTCATTGAACGTTTTGCTATTGAACTGAAATTTGATTCTAAATAAACGGTTTGTCATTGAACGCTTTGCTATTGAATTGAATTTGATTCTGCATTAATGATTTATCATTGAATGTTTTGTTATGTTAAACTGTTTATCAGGCATGCTAAAATTTTATTCACGAGCTATCCATATTTTACTTACTGAGATATTTTATCTCACCTAGTTTTTCCTTGTCCACCATTTTAGGTAGTGATACCCGACACATGAGGAGTCGGGGGAGTGATGAGCTAGATAGCTAGGCATTATTTTGGACTTAGATCTTTTGGAGTTAGGCCGCTAGTCTCACATGGTTGACATAAATAACCATTTTTGTGTACAGAGGTTCCTTGGTTATAGCCATAATTGTTTATAAATTGTTGTACATCTTGACTAGTAAATTTTTGGTAATGGAAAGTTAGATTTTACCTGAGTTTTTAGATTTGAAGTATCCGAATTGGAAATTAAGAACTCAGTAGGTTTCGAGCCTTGTGCATTTGTGGGACCTATTCACGAGTGCACGGCATCTGTTATGCCCTCAGATTTGGGTTTTGGGGCATGACAACCACATTGGGTCCCCACTAATCTAGAATCGAGCCGCGTCGGACCCCATTAGGGGAAGCTCTCCCAATGCCTGTTTCTCTATTCTCAAGACTCGAACTCGAGATCTTATTTAAGGGAACCGAGCTCCTTTCACTCGAATCAACATGTCATTAGTACTAAAGGTTATTCCATGGCTGAGGGAGAAAAGAATCTTTTAGTTTGCATAGGATTCACAGGCCAAATAACTCATAATAACACCACCAATTATAGAGTAACCAGTGAAGAAATATGTGAAATATATGGGACAAAGGGAATTAGGGCCATTCAAGGTAAACATATAGATTCAACTTATCTAAATGGAACTGAATGGAACATAACCAGATTCCTAAACAAACCCATAATGGTACCCACTCAAAATACCTTATATTAAAATTATAAGGGAGAAATGAGTTTGAGCTTTAATGATTATGAAATTATTCTTCTTGAACAAGAAGAAAATGAAGAAACAGTTGGAATCAAGATGTTACATTTCACTGAAGAAATTGAAAATGTAGAAAGTGAACCTTCTTGGCTTCAAACTTTAAGAAAAAGGGAAGAATATTTTGCAAAATGGGAACCAATCAAAGACAAATATAATGAAGAATTGGAATTTATTAAAACTTTTTTTTCCTCAAAAGGAAAAGAAGTTAATGTTGAAGAAGTCTTAACATTGAAATATTATGGAGAAGACATAGAAAATCAAATTCTAGATCTAGAACTTCTAGATGAGACTTCAAAAATCATAAACCCATACTTTAAATTATTCATGAATATGAATCCCAATACGAAAAAATATTCATGAATGTAACCCTTGAAAATCCAAATCAAAATTCTAATCCTAACCAGAACTCTAGTGCTCTAACTAGATCTAAAATTGAAGAAAATTCTAGAACTCTTAAAGCATCTAGAGTCTTCGGTTCTAGAACCTACCAATTAGGAGGAAGATATCCCATACCTCAAGTAACACTTAAGTATAGGGGTGAAAACAGAGAGAGGATACAATTTGGTAAGAGAATGAAGATCAACCCAAACCAATTGCGTACTGCAAAATAGCAAGGGACTATTTTGGAATTACCAAGTTGGAATCCACAACTTTGGGTAGAAATAATAGATCAATGGGAAAGAGACGTTTGTTGGGCATGGATCAATAGATCTATGGATGGTGAAATGTTTGAATTCTTAGAAATACTCTTAGGCTCAACTGTAGAATTGTACTGGAATACTTTTAAAAGAAAGAACCCAACCTTAGTTGTTGAAACAAAAGACTTGGGGGAAAATCCGTACAATTTTACCTCTTTAATTAAAAAAATGTTCTTAGGATTTGATATAATAGTTGATTCCAAAAGAGCTTTACAAAATAAAACTATTGAGGAACTTGAGGTCCTTTAGTTAACATCTTGGTATTAAATCGAGTCCTTTTGCAACGATTTTCTTAAACTTGTTGCTAAGAAAATCGTTGCTAGAACAAGACAAGGATTTGATGACAACTTAAATAATAGAATCTTTGTCCAAGCACTCTTGGTAAACAAATCAAAGAAAATTGGTTAGCATCTAACCCTACACCTCAACAGGGAGTAGGTCTTAGGATTTTATTTATATATAAAATATTAAAAGAAAAATGTCTAGATATTCAAATCCAAAAATCTCTTAAAAAGCAAAAATTTGGTTTTTGTAAATCTGTAATTAGAGGACATGGTTCTTCACAAGAATCATATAATAGGAAGAAAAAAAACAAAAAAATCTCAAAAAGAATGCTTTTCATGCAAGCCCAAAAAATTCATAAAAAATAAAACATATTCTCTTAGGTCTAGTAAAACCTTCAAAAAAGGAAAAACTGGTAAAAAGGGAAATATGTGAAAAAACCCAAAAATCCAAAGAAAGACAAAAAATGCTATATATGTGGAGATCTAGGACACTATGCAAATAGATGCCGAAACAAGAACAAACCAACAGAAAGATCTCACATATGGGCAAATCTTGAAAAAGAGGACATCATCTCCATTAAGGGGATATAAGTCTGAAAGTGATGTGTAATATCAAAAGATTTATGAAATTTTAGACGTATATATGTATACATGAATACTAGTACAAGTGAATTTAAATTTGAGTTAGGGATTCATATGGGAGGAATTATTATTACTGGGTCTAATGGTTAAAAAATTACAAGCCTAAGGGGCATTAAAAGTGAAATTTGGTGATTTAAAAGTGGGCCAAGGCTGGTTTTCTTTTTCTCCTACCTACCCAATTCTGCTTGTTTCTCCCCAACCCTTACCAGAATTTTTCCTCTCCAAGCCCTTGCCTTGCACCAGTACCTTCTTGTCAGAATAATAGGTAAGAACTTAGTTTTTCTTCCTTCCCTTAGCAAGGGTTAAAGATAAATGAGTTTATGGTTCCAAAATGATGCTCAAAATTTCCAGATCTAGCTGCTACATCCTCCCAATCTCTTGATCTGTGTTGGATTTGCTGTCAGCGGTGAGAGATCACCATCAGCACCTTCTGGTAAGAAATCAACCTTGTTGCCCATCTTTTCATCATTGATTTGAAGTGGGTTAACTCTAATCATTTAAGGTTTTCAATTTTGGGAGTGTATGTATAGTTTCCCCTTGATTTTCGCCCATAATTTAGCATCATTAGCTCTGATCTCTCTTTTTGCTGCAAATTCGAACTGCATAACCCTTTAGTAGTAATTTGCCCATAATTCCTTCTTCATTTATCGGGTTAAGTCCATTGTTAATTCTATAGAAAGCTAAGAGATAGCCCTACAACTTTTATGTTGGACGTTTAACCCAGTTCAGTTGTTTTCTCAGTGAAAATTTTGCTGCAACTTTGATTCCTGTTGACGGACTTAGCTGGCAGCCCGACCCTGAGTTAGTATTTTAGCCATAACTCTCTCTATATATGTCAGATTAATGTAATTCTTGATGCTATAAAGCGCTAAGATATAGGGCTACAACTTATCTGTTGATCACTCAACCGAGATCAGTCAATTTCTGGGCTTAAATTCTATTGGAATTTCCAGCATGAAATCTGACCAGAACTTGACAGAAATTGCTCTTTTCTGTTTTATTCCCACCTTATCTACTGCCATATTATATCATGATTTTACTAAATTTTAGCTGTTGTTTTCATGCTCTAAAACCCCTTGTTATTGCTTTGTTTTGGTTGCCTTTTCGCTACTACATTTTTTGCTTGAATGTTGCCCAATTTTGGCTTGTTTCAACATTGTTTTGCTGCTGCTGTTTGCCCATA